CAGCCAGACAGCACATAAAAACTCAACTCAGTCAGTATATACCGCCTCTGGGTATCTCAATGGAAAGTAAGTCATGAATCTGGATGGTTTGGATCAACACATCTTATGTGGTTATTATTGATTTTTAAAACTACACCATCAAGATAAAACAGAATCAAATTAGACGCACTGGGATTTGAGGGCTACATTTTTGACTTTGTTGCCGATTCTGTTTGTTCTTACCCATAATGCTGTTCAGCTCTCAGTGGTGACTCTCAGTCACGCTCTTTCTCTCTCAGAACCTGACAGCACATTGACTGACACAAGCTCATTTTTGATTTCATCCCCAGACAAGAGCACACTTGAGCGAGACAGCACGCCTGAAATGGAGGGAGAAAGAAAGAGAAAAGGTTGTTTCATGGTCAACAAATGCATCATTGCATTCAAGAAAATATCATTCATCCCTGTTGATGTCAGCCATGGCTGTTCGTGAAATTGTGCTCATTTGCCTTTAGTCCTTTGTTTTGCGTCTGGCTGCCGACCTAATATGTATGCAAAGCTGTGCATTTGCATCAACAAAATTAGCTTCTCGCAAGTTTCCCTGAGTGTCTGAGACAGAAGTTTGTTGGTTAAATTAAAATTTCTCTTTTGCGTTCCAGAGAAAGAAGCAAAATACAGTGTCTCTGCAGGCAAAATGCAGACAGTGTTTAATGTTTGATAGGTCTTTAAAAGGTCAACAATTATCAAACAAAACAAGTAGACGCTATAAAGGCTATAAATCCAACACTTCAAGGTAGGAGCCACAAGAGACAACGTTAATTACCTCATATCTCAAAGCACATAACATTACAATAATAATGAGTGTAAACAACTATCAGAGCTCTGACCTGTACCACCTGACTGCTGCAGATTCATTTAAGAGTTGATAGTGTTTATATAGAAACGCCAAAAAATAGTATGAGGATGTGAACAGCTCCGGGTACATCAGGGGTTGCCATCTCATAAATATGGTTGCAACATGGTGTGAATGCAGCATAAGCTTGTTGTTTTAGTTCAGGAGGAACTGTAAAAGGTCTCTGCTGTTTGTTTGCGGTGGTCGAGACTGGCTGTCTACGCCATAGATATAGATATATATATAGATTCCTCATTATTGGCAGTTTCAATAAGCCACTAGTAAGTTAGACACATTTATGAATGTCTATATCTGCAATAGATGTCAGGAGATGATTTTGAATGCAACAAGATGAAGCCGTCTGCTAAAACAACATTGAAAACTAAACCATAGTTACCACAGTAAAAGTAAAAATATTGAAAATATTATAGTAAAAATGTGTAATATTGAGTTAAAGGAGTTGTTCACTTTTAAAAAAAACTTTTGCTGAGAATTTACTCACCCTCATGTCATCCAAGATGTCCATGTCTTTCTTTCTTCAGTCGAACAGAAATTAAGGTTTTTGATGAAAACATTCCAGGATTTTCTCCATGGACTTCAATGGGAACCAAACGGTTCAGTTTCATTGAAGCTTCAAAGGGATTTAAACGACACCAGACGATGAATAAGGGTCTTATCTAGCGAAACGATCGGCCATTTAAAAAATAAATAAAAAAGTTTTATGAGCACAAATGCTCGCCTTGCTCTGTTCTGTGACTCTCTTGTTCGAACTCGTTTATCAAAATGAACAAATCTTTTTTCGAGTCATGACTCGAAGGGTCCTAGATAAGACCCTTATTCATCGTCTGGTGTAGTTTAAAGCCCTTTGAAGCTGCACTGAAACTGTCTTTTGGACCTTGAACTGTTTGGTTCCCAATGAAGTGCATTATTTGGAGAAAATCCTGGAAATACAGACTGTATATACTCAGTTAGTGTCTAGATACTGCACAATATTTATGCAAAAAATTATCCAGACAGCAACATAGTGTTGGCCCAGATTGGGCCCGCATCTGGGCTATGTGGAATCCACATGTACCAGATGTGGGCCGAATCTGGGCCGACAATATGTGGTGGTCTAGCTGGGAAACAGGTTAAAGCAGAAGGTTGTTTGCAAAAGATATTAATAAAAACCTCTAGGCAATCTGAAATTCATGTTATTTTATGATATGCTTAGGATACAAAGCACACTCTAGTTCCAAAAATTTCTGAAACTACAAACTGATGAACAGATAACTGGCTGTGTTACAGCAAAGTACACATTTCTTTTGAAGTGTAATGTTGCTGTTTCTAAAAGCGAGAATAGAAAACTAGGGCAGTCCCATCTCTTGTTCTTAGTGAAGCAATAATCAGCATTTGGACCAGTACTCAGCCCTCATTGTCACCCGTTAAATGCTGAATTAAAAAAAAAAGATCAAAAAACAAAAGACAAAATAGATTATTACATGTATTTGGAGAAAATTTGGTTTCTAGGGTGTTCTGGGGTAGTTGCTATGGTGAATGTTATGCATAGTGCAAGTTAATGCAGAAATGTTTAGGGGATGGTTAGAGATCCCTGAAAAATCCCTGATTCTGTGCAGTTTAATATTATTCAAAACTCTTTGTCTGAGAAGAACCAACATATGTGTGAGAAATATGCATTAAGATTAACTGAGAGAAGACAGTAAATTATGCATAATTGCAGAAAACGAATTAAACTAAACCAAAACCAAACCCTAACCGTAACACTATAGTAATAGTATTTAGCCTACTTATTTGACGCATAAGATGTACAATGTAACGACATCACTTTAAAGTCGTTAACAAAATTATAAATGCAACACTTTTGTTTTTGCCCCCATTTTTCATGAGCTGAACTCAAAGATCTGAGACTTTTTCTATGTACACAAAAGGCCTATATATTGTTCACAAATCTGTCTAAATCGGTGTTAGTGAGCACTTCTCCTTTGCCGAGGTAATCCATCCTCCTCACAGAATGACACCTAGTTCACTATATAGGGGATAGGAAACGATTCAGAGAGTGTAATGCTTTCCATTGAGGCGAATTAAGTCTGGTTTCACGTTAGCATCACGCGAACCGCCACAGCGCACGTACAGTCTGCTGCAGTCCAGAGACACGATAGCACGATAAAGGATAGACCACAAAACATATCGAACCTATTTGAATTCTGCACAGAATGCTGTATTATAAACTGATAATGGAGGAGATTAGGAGGAGAAATGGTTAGAGATTAGGAGGAAACTGTGGCTTTACCGCTACTGGCTATTTTAAAAAGGGGAGGAGCTGTTTGAAATGTCCCGCCCTGTCTACCTGTTTTGGTGGAAATTACGGCAACACATTGAATAATGCTGCATGTTCCAAGCCACTTCAGTGGGCCTTTTAAAATAAAGTCTTTTTCCCCATCCACTCAATGTCCTCAATATCCTGCAACTTTAATGTTAGCCTCGTTAACCCTCCAATGATCAAGAGTGATTTAAAGTGGGTCTGGGCAACCTCATGAGGCTTTCATTAAACCTGATAGCATTTATCATGACTGATGTGTTGATTACATGCATGTTTGCGCTATATCCCGTGACAACTGCTCCGGATGATAAGGTGAGGCAGGGTAAGAGAGAGTGCTAGAAAACTTATGACATAGGGAATGCTGTGATGAGCTAAATATAATACTTACTGAGCACCAGAGACCATGCAACGCTGACATGTATTTTCACACACACACACACACACACACACACACACACACACACACACACACACACACACACACACACACACACACACCTTCACAATGACATGACGGGAGGGAGTCATCTGCCTCTGGTTTCTGTATACAAATCAGCCAGGAGATATTTGCATAAGCTGTATCCTTTAAAAAGAGAGGAGAAAAAAGTAAATATTCAGATCTGAACATGTTAATAGGGCATGTTGAAGAAAAAGAGGGATTATGGATTTGAAGGAAGTGAAGAGATGCTTATGTGGAGATGAGAGAATGTGAGTAAAGCGTAACTTATGATGAAAAGGACTTATGGATGAGCCAGAGACCTATGGCATTCAATCTCTGAACTATATCTTTACAATCCCCTCCCATTTCATCACATCTAACTCTACAGACTGTAGATAAGATTGTAATCCTCAGTACATCTGGACACAAGCCAGTCTGTCCTGAAATAACACACTCTCCCATGCAGGCACACAAATACACTATTTGCATATGGAAAGATATATGGTAACACTTTACAATAATAGTACATGGATAATCATGTACTAATACCTGAATGAATAAATAATACTTTACTATGAACTATTGATGAGTTAAGGCACACTAATGAGGAACTCATGAGTCATATGAATTCCTGCATGAATATACCATCTTAACGTACATGCTTAACTAAATCAAACTTGCTCTATAAAATGGACACATTTTGTAGCCCAAAAGAAGTGCAAGAACCCTAACTGACTAACATCCAACTGTATTATGCTATAAAGACAGTGAACCAATCAATAAAATAACCACATAAAAAACCATCATGTGCTCACACTGATTTTAATTTTGAAAATTGCATCTGTTAATGAATATGTTAGAATTTCACTCTTGATGGCAGCAGTGAAACACTTAAAACAGAATGAGATTAAATTGTTTTAATGATGAATGCATCATTGTGTGTTCACTTAAATGTAAGGTTAAATGTAAACATTGCGAGACATCTAGTGTCATTCACTGATGTTTGTGACAGTTTCTGGTGTCAAATTTATGAACAATTTTACATTGAGCCCTTTTAGTAGGCTACATCTTTCTTCTGATCTAGAATATGTTTGATTTAGTTTATCCCGAAATGCTAATTAATGCATTAATTAACAGTACGTGTAGCTAGATGGTACATTCGTGCAGGAATTCATATGACTCATGTTCCTCATTAGTAGTACATGTCTTAACTCATCATTAAAGTAATTATTAATTCAGGTATTAGTACATGATTTTTCGTGTAGGCTATAGCCTACTATTGTAAAATGTTTCCAGATAGGCTATTATACATTTACCTCATTATAAAAGACAGCAATTGAAAAAAAAATACTTTCAATAACACACTGTAGTTACAGGAGGAAATCATTTTTATCTTCATGTTTTATTCACAGAACAGAAAATATAAGGCTTAGGCTATAAATAGGTTTAAAATTAGCATTAGGCCTAACTGACCAACCAATAGCACTTTTACCTCAAGAGCTGGGTCCAAAACCACACAATTGGTTTTGTCCGAAAGTAGGTTTTATACATCACATTTTCACGATTGATATCACGTATAAACAGACAAGAGTCCATCAAGTCTCTTGTTGAATGATTACACAATATGGAGAAAATGCTAATCGTTATAGTGTGTCTCCCTCTATTGGCAAGTATAAGGACAAACAACCAAAAACATACTGTACACCAAATCGCACTGGAGAAAAAACAATAATTTTGCTCAAATCCATTAAAAAAATAGTGTAATGTCTAAAAATTAGTGTAGTGTCCAATTTGAGACATTTCTTTTTTTACATTTCGGCAGAATTATTGCACTTTCCTACAAATCAAGTAGGCTACAACTCATAGGCGGCATCTCATTTTACCTCATTGTTTCCTGATTCTGTAATTCCAGATTATGTTGATGTTTTTAAACATTGAACAAAAAAGCACAGATGTTGTACATATTCAACATCCAAAAACTACATAGTTGTGATTCATGTTGGATTTATTAATTAATTCCGGATTAATTGTTAGCATTAAGATTTAGCATTGCAGCAAACAGCATGCAGCCTTGTGAAGGAACACGTATTATTTCATTTCAGCAGATTATGGTAATAGAGATTAATGCACTCTAACATATTGGTTTGTCTGTGTTTTCAGATCATGAGTGTTTCTTTAGCAGTTCAGAGAGAGAGCATGTGATTAATCGTGCAGCCCAGATAAACTAATACCTATTCTAACAATAAAATGCACTGTAGCTTACAGGTTTTGAACAAAATTATCAAAAGTAATGCAATTGAAGGTCCAGAATGGCAAAAAGTAATCTCACTGTAAGTTAAAAGTGTGCTACTTCGTGAAAATACACATTTCTTTATCAATTTTATTTATTGCTTTATTATTAATTCAAATTAAACACAGAATATTTAGTTATTTTCTGTTATCTGATTTAGTGCATCAAATAATGTACTGCACATCAACAAATATTGTAGTTCAGGAAAGTACTTCAGTGTCCGTGAAGAAGGAGCGATGATTTGTGTTCCCAGCATCCCGTTTAAGCAGAGTAAACTGATTAATAACATTGTGCTTCTCCAAGCTAAAACTGCTGTCTCGGAAGTACAGAACTGCTGACAACTGCTTCTTGCTAAAGACAAGAATGGACAGAGTGGTTACTTGTATGCAATCAAACTAGTGAACAAAACAATGTATTGTTTTAAAATATAGCATGTTCAAAGTTATTATAACACTTACCTGATGTCTGGGTAATTACTAACTAATGGAATTAACAGATCTTTTATCTTTCTCTCATTTTCCATTCCAATAATGTCACTAAGGTAATCTCCCAACGGATAAAGCCAGTTTAAGGATGATCCCTGTGTACGAAATAACATTGTCAGTGCATGAAAAATCCATTTCCAAACTATTTAATGCTAGACTGGGTCCTACCATGTCCTCAAATAGTTTCCTGAGTTCTTTCCATTGTTCTCTCAGTTTTACAGCAGCATCTTCGCTCTTGGTTTTTTTGCATGAGTATTTTTTCTTCATCAGCTGGGATACATATTCTCTGGCTACATAATAGTGCACTTCATTCACGAAAACCTGCGAATACAGACCCTGTGTTAAAAGTGGTGCTCTGTAGCCATTAGAGAGAATCTCAGAGTAGATGACAGGACTCACTTGAGCTGATGGAGCTCTCATAGATTTACAGAGCCCACGATAATTCTCTATTCTGCAAGTAACTTCTTTAAAATCTTCATTTGTTTTCAGCCATTTTTTTGTCATCATACCATCTATGTAAGGCTTTGGGTAAAATTGCATTGTAGTTAGTAATATTGTAATCTTCAATTATAAAAAATAGTGTAATATGCTCTTGACTAGGTATAATTTTAGATTATGAGAAATTTCAAATGACAAGCTGGGTATATTTTATATGTATATATCTGAGGAAAGGCCCACCTTGATATCAGTTTTGAAATGTTTTATCAGGGTCTGGGTAAGTCTTTGAATCAGTCCATCCACATCTTTCTCCAGCTGCTCCACCTGAGCTGAGAAGTTCTCCCTATAAAACTGCATTTTCTCTCTGTAACAAAAGTAAGACATGCTGCTGCTGTACAATATGGCATATAAGAAATACCCGTAGCAGATCTATATAGATGGAGCTAGGGAAGGTGGAGCGTTATATATATATATATATATATATATATATATATATATATATATACCTTAAAAGTATATTTTTTTCAAAAACATACAAGCAGATAATATATCAATAAAATAAAAGACCACTTAAGTGTACTTAAAGTGAGAACGCTTTCATGATTGTTTCTTAACACACTTAAAGTACACTTTTAAAAGTGCACTTTAAAATAATGACAGTTTTATTTCAAAGTGCATCTTAGATCATTGTGTTTAATAATCATGTTTACATTTTGTAATGCTAAGTACACTTATTTTGATAAGTTGACTATAAACCACATTTAAAATACTTGACTGTAATTTTAAGAGTAGTGTGTTATTCAATATTAAAATAATAATTCTGAAATTGCATATTAAGATGTACTTTAGTCCCATATACTTAAGTGGGTCAAAACACTCTAAAGTTAAAAAGTTTAATATCTATTTAAACTATGATAGATTTGCATTTAATTGCCATTAACATGCAATGAAATGCCTGAAAACATTAAAGGGTTAGTTCACCCAAAAATGAAAATTAAGTCATTAATTACTCACCCCCATGCTGTACCAACCCCGTAAGACCTTCGTTCGTCTTCGGAACACAAATGAAGATATTTTTGATTAAATTTGAGAGCTGTATAACTACCACATTGGCTCCTAAGGGACTGCCTCTTGACGGCCCAGAAAGTCAATGAAGAAAATGTTTAAATATCCCAAGTGACTACCGTGGCTCAACGATATGTTTATCAAGCGACGCGAATACTTTTTGTGCGAAAAAACAAACAAAAATAACGAGTTTATTCGACTATTTCTTTTCTTCCTTGTAGGCCAGAACGAGACTTCCTTAGATTTCCACGACGCATGCGCGAGATTTGCGATCTGCTCACACCAGCTTACACTACTTCAGATCGCAATTCTCGCGCATGCATCGTGGAAATCTAAGGAAGTCTCGTTCTGGCCTACAAGGAAGAAAAGAAATAGTCGAATAAACTCGTTATTTTTGTTTGTTTTTTCGCACAAAAAGTATTCGCGTCGCTTGATAAACATATAGTTGAGCCACGGTAGTCACTTGGGATATTTAAACATTTTCTTCATTGACTTTCTGGGCCGTCAAGAGGCAGTCCTTTAGGAGCCAATGTGGTAGTTATACAGCTCTCAAATTTAATCAAAAATATCTTCATTTGTGTTCCGAAGACGAACGAAGGTCTTACGGGGTTGGTACAGCATGGGGGTGAGTAATTAATGACTTAATTTTCATTTTTGGGTGAACTAACCCTTTAAATTCAGTTTACACTTAAGTATAATTTTCTTTTCTTTTAAAATATATTATTTTTCCATAATAAGTACTCTTTTTCACAAGGGCACGCTTTCATGATGAACTTACTTGAGTGAATTAAAACAGTTGATGTAGCTGATGTGATATTTTACCCATAGACAGCAGTCCAGCAGGTCAGAGGTCAACAGAGAGCGGGTGTGTTGCAAAAACTCCTCCTCGAATCTAAAAGAGAAGGAAACTGTCAGAGAAGGAAAGATGCAGAAGTGATCTCGACTTCATCTATAATAATACTGTGCACAAACCTTGTATGAAATGGATTTAGCTCCTCTAAGCAAAAGCGTATCACTGACTTCCCCAGATTCTCATCGATTTTCTCAAGATTCTCAGCATAACTCGCTATCAGCTAACAAGACAAATCCAGAGGTGAATAAAAATGTAATAAATTGTTATAATAAAGATAAAAGTTTTTGATCTCCCTCTAGTGTCAAGTTTAAGTCCTGACCTGGAAGATGGCCATGTAGTTTTTTGAAGTGAGGAATCCATCATCTGCTCTATCAGGAGAATTCTTCATTGTCCACACTTTTTTTTCAGATATGATAATATTATCCAGTGCAGATTTAAAGTCCTCCTGATATCAAATATGGTATCGCAGTAAATCAAACTGATAGAACAAACAAATTCTAAATAGGCTATGTGGTGTATTTGCTAAAAGGTACACTATGTAACTTTTTTAATTCAAAATAAACACAATTTAAGTAATGAGTCAATAAATCATACATCCTTTTTCCAAAACGTGTTTTTGTCTTACCCTGATTCAATATGGTAAGCCTATAATATGTGTTTATATTTTAGACCTGTCCGGAGGGTTTTTGTGGGAAATTTTCGTGTAAATACATGTAAATATGTCACTTGCCCATGTGTGATCTCGTCATATCCGTAAATAGAGAAAAGTTGCTTCGGCTACTTTGACGTGTGTATGGTGTGGGAGTGTCGTAGGTTAGTTGTTGCAATGAGCGAAAAAGTTTGACATGGAGCAGCTAAATCTCGAACCTACGGGAAATCACTTGTTTAAAAAAAATATTGATGAAAGTCTTGTGGCAAAAAATAGCACGCAACAGTGCTCGTAATAAAACGAGAATCAACATTAGCTTGGCTTTAGGAGGTGGCGAGAACTGAGAGTGACGTGTCTGTTAGCTACAGTAATGTCCTCAGCTAGTCAGCTTGAGATCCTTCTCAATCTAAACTGGTTCTCTTAAAGGGATACTCCACTTTTTTTGGAAATAGGCTCATTTTACAACTCCCCGAGAGTTAAACTGTTGAGTTTTACCGTTTTTGAATCCATTCAGCCAATCTCCGGTTCTGGCGGTACCACTTTTAGCATAGCTTAGCATACATCATTGAAGTGCACAAGACCATTAGAATTAGACCGGGACTAAGTTTGTGTCGTCATTACGCCTGCTGCACACATGGTACAGCAGTGAAGTTTCTTGATTATTACACAGGAATGAGAGTATATTTCCTAGCCATATCAGCCTAGAAAATCGCAACTTTACATTTTCCGTCGGTCTTAGTGCACGATGTAACTACAGAAGAGTCAAGTTTTAAATAGGAAAAATATTGAATCACTTTCGTCATTTTTTTTTTTTTTTTTTTGTGAGAAATGCTAATTGGTCTTGTGCACTTCAATGATGTATGCTAAGCTATGCTAAAAGTGGTACCGCCAGAACCGGAGATCGGCTGAATGGATTCAAAAACTTTAACTCAGTTTAACTCAGGGGGAGTTGTAAAATGAGCCTATTTCCAAAAAAGTGCAGTATCCCTTTAAGCCCTTATGAGAAAGAAACTTATTCATCAGTACTGTCACACAGAGCCGAAGCACAACCAGAACAGTGTTGTTTCGCTAAATGCTTGCTATTTTTTTTAACTGGCTCTAATGTTACATAGTGTACCTTTAACCTAGAATGCTAAAACTCTTTCCTTGCAGTAACTCACCATTTGGCAATGACAGTAAGAGGTCTTTATATCATTCAGCAATTCTTCTTCCACTATAAGAATTCCCTGCTCGTCTCTCAGATCACTGTGGAATACCAATGAGATACCATTTCATTTAAACTAATTATGCAATGAAGTGCCATTTAGACACTTGTGGGATGTGTTTTAAAAAGCTCACCTTGGGTAGCGATGAATAATGAAATCTAGAAGAGCTTGGTAATCTTTAAGCTCCGTCACCTTTTCCAGAAGTCTCTTTAAATGCTCTCCTACAGCCTCATGATGGCAGGACACATAGGTTTCAAACACTTTAAAGTCAGCTGGATATGAGCTCAGAAGTTCAGTCTTCACTCTCTCCAAATCCTCCACCACAGCTTTACCCAGAAGCCCCAGATGCACTGCCAACCAGGAATCGTTCTGCTCGCGGCTGTCCAGCTGAACTTTCCTCAGAGCATCTCGAACCCCGTCTAGTACCGCATCCCTCCATGCTTCCCTCCATCCCGGCATCGCTCCTGGTTCTCCCTGTCTCTTCTCTTCCTCCAAGATAATTTGTGCAACATGCACCAGCAACTCTTTATTGGGCAAGGGCAGAGCACTGGAGTTGCGTACAATGACAGACATTTTGTTTCTTAGAGTCTCAAATAGATCATTGACATCTGTCTCTTTAGCTACTTGATTTGTGGGAGAAACTCCTTCTCCCTCAACTTTTAATTTTTCATTCTGGCGCATGGAGAGCAGGTTCAGATAGGCCTCCTTCAGCATATCTTTTTCTATATAATCTGTGATCTGCAATACTGTTGTGAAAACAAAGCGGCAATGAGAAAGAATGTTGCTATGAATAATATCATACAGAGCACTATGCATTGCCTATGCCTTCTTTACCACCACAACAAATGGACTATATTTACCTGTGCATGGCTTTAGAGGGATCTTTGTGCCGTTGATTTCAAATGTCTTCTTTTTGCTTTTTCTGATCGAGGATAACCTGCGAAAGATGTCTTTCACTGTGCAAACATATTATAAAAATATATTAGAAAATCTATACTGCACAAATTCAACAATAGTTTTTTCCTCGTAAAAACGAGAGATGTATTAACACAACAGAGCACTATTCTCCTCCCTTCTCAACCATTGAATATCAAATAGAAACTTAAAAGGGTGAAAACAATGCAGCAGACAATGCATAACCCCAAAAGCTCAGATCAATCATTTATCACCAATATTATGTGTTAATAGGAAACTAATATATGTAAGTATGTAACGTCATCATTGATGGTGATTGATATTTTAAAGTGGTTTCCCTCATTTTGACATGAATGTTGTATTTCTCAGCTTTAGAAGAATTGTAGCTACAATCACAGCACACTTGCACTTTTACAAATTGTTCCTTGTATTTTGCATAGCACCCACAGCAATTTCCACTGGCCCAGTCATGTAGCAATAAAACATGCATGCTACTGTATTTATTCAATTCTATTCAATTTCATGTAAATGACATTGATATATGCTACTTGCCAGAAGTGGGAGATTTTGCCATTGTTAATCCAAGCGGCTATTAAACGACTCTGTACAATACATGAGAAAAGAAAAGTCAGAATATCTTATGAAAGTAATATATTATGTAACATCAGCCGTCCAAGGCATTTTAATATGGTGCTTTATCTTATAAGCTACTAGTGATTATATAAAACTGGAACATGAAACAACAAGAATTTTCCACCTGCAAAAACCAATACTCTTCCTCATTACTAACCCAATCGGTAACTTAACTTTCAAAAGACAAATTATAAAAAAATAAATATGAGAATTAAAGTTGTGAATAAAGAATTGTGATACCCTACAGTAAACAGGAAAACCATGAATGAAAAATAAGTAAGGGTGTCAGTTCTTTTAAATGCAGAAATCAGAAATGCTATCTCTTAATCTCACCGACAAATTATCAAAATCATTTTAGTGTCGTCTCTAAAAAAAGCACAAAACGTAAATAACAAGTAAATAATGTGTAGCTCTTACCTGAAATGTTTTCAGGGAATGTCCCTTCCTTTCTTCTCAGAGGAGCTTTGGGAACGTACTTTCACTTTCATGTATACTTGAAAAAGACACGTGTACACCTATAAAAACCACTGTAAGGCTTTTATCAGTGATGAATAGGTTCTTTGAATAGCATTTGCATTTGCTCTATTCAGAGGGAGTAAAAGCCAATGGTTCAAGCAAAAACATGCTGCTGAAATATAAATCAAACATTAATGTTCACACATCCATTTAGTTACAAATTAACAGAAAGAGACATACACAAAGTTTCCATGTAGATGCTATAAGAAGCTATGCAAAATGTTTCATAAAGGAATAAATGATAGATTAATAAGACAAAATCACCAGTTAGATATACACAAGCCGATTTATATCTCATGTTTAACCACTTGACAAGACACAGCCGAGCCTGCGGCAATCGTCAGAAGGACTAGCTGAGGAAAGGCTGTTCTCGGCGGGGTATGAGCGCTGAGCCCCCAGTGATCGCATGGATCTCACAATAGGTGCTATCTTTATAAATAAACCAAAGATTTGACCTTTAAACAACTACATTTCCACCTGAAAGACTCTTAAAACTACCTTTCATGACACAATAACAGTGGCATTTTTAAATTATGTGGGTTTTCTAATCTGCTGTTGACACTTGCTGGTTGGTGCGAGATGCATTCTGGTATACCTGCTGTCTCAAGCATGTGTCTATGGTGGTATCAACTTTGCTTAAGTCATCTCTCGATGCCTCCTCTGTAAAAGGGGCGGATCAAGAACACATCAGGATTTGAACTTGGTTTTGGTTGAACAGGATTTGGCTTGATGTGAACTTGATTTGGAACAAGTACAGACAAGAACCCAAGAACGCATTTTGAGAAACAGAATGCCCACGAGGCAATCGTGGTGTGATATATTTGAGTAAAAACTATAGGCTCATTAATACCTTATTCTAGATACTATACAAGGTGTGTTCTAAATACTACAAATTTTGTCATCAATAACAAACCTATGCAAAGCATAGCAGAGATGAGCAACTTCGGTCCTGGAGGGCCACTGTTCTACAGAGTTAAGCTCCAACCCTGAAAAAATCATCTGCCTGTAACTTAATCCTGAAGACCTTGATTAGCTTGTTGGTTGAAGCTAAACTCTGTAGGACAATGCCCCATCCAGGACTGAAGTTGCCCATCCCTGATGTAGGCAATAGCCTAGTATTGAAAGTTTACATTCAATGCATTACAATGATCAAAGTCCTGACCACAGTTTAACTATACCTAAATATATATTTTTAAAAGTACAATTATTTAAGTGTTAAAAGTTGTAGCTATTGTGAAAATAAGTAAAAGCATGGTGCCAATTCTCTTTTAATATTTTTAAAGATAGTACCTTTTTTTGTTAGTAGCCTATATTTGCAATATATATTTTATATATTTTCAAATAGAATAAATGTTTAGGGTTTTATTCACTCAATTTGGATGGAACATGCCTTGTATTGTGACTAGGCTATGCTATATTTTGATAATAAAGGAAACACTCGATGCTTTGCATAACCACGTATATTGTTTTTCCTCAGTGGTAGCCTACGCACAATTGTATTTCCATAGATTATGGGAATCTAAAAGTGATGTGTAATCATTTTTCAAAAACTCTCAAGTCAGTGAATACAGTAGGCTACTTACTCTGACTGAACAGTGACTGAATCTGACGCTAGTTCCTGTATCAGCTCAGCTCACGCGGGCTCATAATAATTAACAATGCACCTATTCAGTGACGTTTCAAGGTGAATCCCGACTAGAAAGTCGAAATCTGTTCTGTTGTGAGTAGGCTACCAGGGTTTTTCGCAGCTCTACTCGCGGCCTATTTACGGGAAATGTATAGTTAAGTCTTGCTGTTGAACCTGTCGGTGCAGTGCGTTTGCCAGCTGTTTTTGTTTTTTTTACGCTTCAATATTTAACAGAAAAGATCGTTGGAAGTGGAAGTGGCACAAGAAACTCGGGTCTAAGGTGAGTTCGTTTTACAGTGCGATGTTTAACTTACAAACATACTTATACATTCATATATTGTAATAACGGCCACATTTGTATTTATGCGTGTTTTTAGGACTGGTCTTTAAAATACATATCTTCCGCGACCTTTAATCGCTGAGATATCATAACGTAGTTACCTGTAGCTGTGCCAATAACAGCCAAAGTCAGTGTCAGTTAGATGTCATAAAAGATTGAACTGATGTTATTTAATGTAATGAGTAATTTTAACGAGATTCCTTTGAGATAATGCCGAGCTGTGGTCCATGAAATCAAACGGTCGATAAGTTTATATTTTCGCTCTCGACGGAAAGCAATATTTTGGTATTGTAAAGGAGACATGTCTTCCTAACTCAGAGATGATTTCTAAGAACCTGTCATCTTTTGGCAAAAGAAACATACGACATGCGCCCATATAGCTACATTGGCTACTGTTAAATGGGGCAGCATATCAAATCATTTATAATAGTGTTTACAGTAGTGCAGTGTAGGCTACTTCAGAATTTAATGTCGAAAATGAAGGCAGAAATGAAGATTTTAAACATTGTTTAGGGCTATTTAAAAAAACACGTTTATTGCTGTTTTATTTCAGTCACAGTTGTGTTTTAAAAAATGAACATGGGCAGGAAAATTAAGTCTCCAAAAATACGCACTTAAACAGCATTGCCTTGAATAAATCTGGGCTTTGAATGTTCTTTCTTCCTAATATTTGTGTATTGCTTGTTTTTCTTTTTAACTAAGCTTTCCATAAAGGTGGAATGTGGGGTTAAGGGTGTCCTATATTTTTTCACCTTATGGGTGGTTCATCCACTCCACTGATCTATATAATGACATGTCATTCTATATCAGTGGGTTCATCTTTTAACTTTGGGACCTGTATTGTGATTATTTGAAACGAGTTTGTATACAAGCTCATGTCTTTCTGTTGTTATGACAACATGTACGCCTTCTACATGAATCCAATCCAGTAAAAAAAAAGTCATGTTGTCAGTAAACAACATGATGTACCTGCTGATAGATTCAACATTTCATTCTCACACTCGGTTCCAGTGGTCAACACTATTAAACCTTGCATTGTTTTTTGGCACAATATTTCAACATTTCTTTAAAGTTCTTGATATATTTTCCTCAAGCTTGATTCGACTGACGCATGGAAAAATGTCAGAAACTGGAAAAGAAGAAGTTGACGGGGTTAATGACCCACCAGGATGGGGTGAGGACGCAACAAAGGGTATAAAAAATGGTGGAAAGCAGATGGAAAGTCCGGTCAAGGAGAAGAATCCTGGGCTTATGAAGACCTTCAGAAACAGTTTGAAAGTCCTCAGTCCTTTGACATTGAAAAACAAAATGTCAGAGAACACAGACAGCGACCAAAGCCAAATCTCAAATTCACCTTCACGACCGCCTTCCTCTCCAAGTAAGTGTATCCATAATGTGATTAAAAAGTGTTGTTGTTTTTTAGTGACAATGTCTTCCCAAGGTTAAAGTTCCAACAGTAAACCAGAATGTAAGTACTTATAGAGTACTGTGAACTTAACTTCTGGTACACAGTAAAAAACGCAGTGTCAAATTAACACTTTAAGTGTTAATTTTAACACTACTCCGGATCATATATGGTCCCACTCTATCTAGAGTAAAAAGTACACTGTTTGTAGTGTAGAATTTACAGTGTTAATACAGCACCGTACAGTGTAGAAAAATTACACTGTGAGTGTTAAGTTTTACACTTAAAATTTTTACACTCTGTGGTTTTAACACCCCTGGTGTTGATTCAAATCCATTGCATTTTACACTATAAGTGTAATTTATAAAAGTATTCTGTTCAGTGCAAAAACTATTTACACCATTATATAGTGTTACTGTAATGTACAAGCTAGACATAAATCAAGACTCTTTAGACAGATGTACAAATCCAAAGTTTATTCAACAAATGGCAAAGTGGCCCCTTTAAAACATATGCCATATATGGAAAAAGTCAAATTGTCACATTCATTAGGAGTTTAGCAGAGAAAAAAAAGAGAAAAGGGAAAAAGCATAAAATCACCCAGTTTGCCTACATTAACAAATATGACAGGTGGATTTGAACAAGATTGCAAAAATCTACTTGTCAACAGTTGTGTAGCATCCATGAATGCAGTCCCTCTTTGTCTCATCAGCGAGCAGGTATAGTAGTATTTGAGTTGATCCCCACCAGCAGCGAGCAGGTATGCTGTGTGGTCGGTTCTTTGTCCCATCAGCGAGCAGGTATAGTAGTATTTGAGTTGATCCCCACCGGCAGCGAGCAGGTATGCTGTGTGGTCGGTTCAATACAATCAAGGTGTTCTTGTACGCTGGTCTCTGCCAAAGACAAAAAAACAAACAAATCAAAGTCAGCTCTCCAATTGGTGGTCTTTATAGTTTTCCACAATAAAGTCAACTCAAATGGCAATATTTTGAGGCAGACAATAAATAGTGAGAGAAATGTCCAAATTTACCCTTTTGAAGACAACAAGGTGTTGTTCAGCTTGATATGAGCACATCTTTCCATGTCTTTCCAGGGTGGTGGAATCAAATCAAGGAGGAGACAAATTGATGCAAGATCGCTGCCCCATTCTAAATTACAGATGAGAGAAGATGTGACAACTTGAAAAAAAAAATGCAACAAAAAAATGCATGAACGTGTTTAGATAATCTTATTCTGAAATATAGACTTACCTCATCACTTATCATCTTTCTCAGCAGAGTCAATCAGTTCCTTGAAGCTCTTCATGCTTGAAGCATTTCCAGAAACTAAGCTGAGATCTTCTAACCAAAAATCAAAAACAAAAAAAAACAATCAACAGTTACATAGCATAATGATAACCAAATCTCGCTCAGTGCTAGGCAGAGTAGTGCCATTCGCACCAGCCTTTAACATTCGTCTTGGGTGACGCACAAGTAAACAACTCAAAGTACAGGTGTAAATTATACCCCCCCCTAATTTTAAATTAAATTTAAATTTAATTTAAATTTCAAAGATGAACAAAAGTCTTTCCAGGTTTGGAATGACATGAGGGTTTGAAAAGACAATTTTACACTTTTGGGTCAACTAACCCTTTGACTTTTTGCAGTTTAATATCTTGAATTTACACAATTCATGAAGACACACCAATCACCATGCCATTAAAGGTATAGTTCACTTTGAAAGTAATTTTTGATATGTTTTATCTTATCTTAAGGGCATCCAAGATGTAGGTGTCTTTGTTTCCACAGTATTTTCAATTTTGATATTTTTAGGTCAAAGCGTTCTTGTCTGTCAGTCGTATAATGCAGGTCTATGGTCACCACCTCAAAGAGCATGCACAGAGAAGTCCAAATTAAACATGATTTAATGACTCGTAAATGTACGTACACATTGCACACTTCCGGGGCTTTCCGGCGCTTGAGCAGCAGACCGAAGCGCCCGCGCCCTCAGTGTACTTGGACGTGACTGTGATTACAAGAGGTAAAAACGATATAAATACTGTTCGTTTTCTCACACAAACCGCTCATTTCGTGTCTTAGGCCATCAATGTGTACTTACATTTACGAGTCATTAAATCATGTTTAATTTGGACTTCTCTGTGCATGTTCTTTGAGGTGGTGACCATAGACCTGCATTATACGACTGACAGACAAGAACGCTTTGACCTAAAAATATCAAAATTGAAAATACTGTGGAAACAAAGACACCTACACCTACCTAGATGCCCCTCGAGGTAAGCTAAAACATATCAAAAATGTATTTCAAAGTGAACTATCCCTTTAATGACAATCAAGACACAATCACCAACAACACATGTAAATTCCAGTTCTGAAAAAAGGCATTGTATGGTTGCCCACATAGGTTTAGATTTTTCATGTTCATTCGTCATGTACTAAAATTTCTACAGCACATAGAATTAAAAATATAATGACACTCACAATTATGGATTAATCTTCAGCATTCTATTTCTTTCTTCATTTCTCTTTGCATTCTCATGAGAGGAGCTTCCTTCACTTGACACTGCAGGGGTCTGGGCAAAATCTATTGAAAAAGGATTTGAACAAATATTTATCAGTTGAGGCCAAAATTTAGTAATGCAATACAATTTAAATAAGAGATGTAAATATAGTAAAAAAAATAATTGAGATTACCATTAATTTTGATTAAGCTGAGAGCTGACTATAAAGCATGGGCGTCAAATTGTAAAATTATTTCTATTCACATCCTTCATTTTAGAATTAATTAAATGAATGTTACAAGTTAGTATCCACAAAACATTGTGCAATGTTCACATGTAGGCCTGCCTGAAACAGTTTAAAATGCATTTCATCTGATTAAATACATTTAAATAATTTAAATGAGTAGTGGCACCTTAAATTGAACTTGGTTAACTATATTCGATATTAAGACACATTTAGAATTGTTTTACCCATAACTTATTAATGTTATTTATTAACTTATTAATGTTATTTATTATGTTAACAGAAAATACAGATTCATATTAATAAAATACAGACAGACAGATAAATAGTTAGTACATAATTTATAATAACACGCAGTATGAATTGATAAAGAAGACTGATTAACGTTATAAGCTAAAGTATATACTGTATGCTCTGCCAGTGCTCACGTAGCTAAGTTAAATAACGTTACCTATAAACTGAACTGGAAGACAGACGGATTTATAGATTAGCTTCAACTCAATTTCACGTTTGAACTTAACTGCCATAAAAAAAGAACTTGACGCAAATATGACGACATGATATTCAGTGTTAAGAACAAGCAAAGTTCTATCGTTACATACTTAAACACCCTATTAATAATGCGCATGTGTCGCGAAAACGGAATTGTTAACGTTTTAATGTATACACACAAAACAAATCTAAAATTACCATTTGAAGAATTCTCTCAAAAAGCCCAAATGGTGCCGCTTCAGACCTCCTCGTCAGCTTCAGCGCCAGGCTCGTCTTTAACCCAGGCCTTGGCGCGACTGGAGGCGGGAACGCAACTTTCATGATGTCTGTCAACAAACCAAAATGAAATAAGCCGAATATATATACACAAAACAAATTGTAAGCACATTCCAACTAATTTATTTTACAAATTTTATCGGCATGAGAAACGTTTCTTCTTTTTCTTCTGTAACTTAGGTACATCTCTGCATCTCATGAACTTGACGAGCTTCCTTAACCCATACAAAAACGCGCAGTTGATCATTTCTAAATGTGTTCACCACTATAGTTTACTAAAAATGTAAACAAATGCATGTAAGTTACTATTTAATATTAAGAAAGAGAAAGGCAATTCAACCTACCGTCTCGCTCCTCGCATGAAGATAAAATGGCGCTGTCGTCTTGTGAGGCAGAAGCATCGAGGGGCGGAGTCAATACAATTCGGCGCGTCTTTTTACACTTTCAGTGTAAAAATAAAATTACACTATGTGGCACCCTGTAGGCTACACTGAAGGGGAGTACCCTTTAACACTGTAGATTGTTAATTTAACACTTTAGGAATAGATAACTTTTAACACTGGAATTTTTACACTGGCGATTTTACTGTGTAGACAAAAGCAGCAGTGTCTTGTAGATCCTATTCATAAGGAACCATGTTAGCCTGTTAGCTTGTATAACAGATAGTTGGATAAGGATTTTTTTATTGACTTTGGATTTGCTAAAACTCTTTGCATGTTTCTCTTTTTAAGGCTTGAGCAGAGGATCTCCCTCACAATCTTCATTTCAGAGTCCCAAGGCAAAAAAAGCTTCTCTTACCAGAACTAAGTCAGGTGACTGGTCTTTGCAGGTCACTAGATTCACCTCTAGACAAGTGAAATATGTCATTACAGGATCTGTTGATAGTAAATGCAGCAACCAATGCAGAAATGCTTATTACGTTATACCTTTTGGGAGATCTAGCCTTTACAATTATGTTTATTCCTAAAATTATTAGAACCGTCACATTAACAAAAATATGTCCTCCTGATCCTGTTTGTTTAATCATTAAATTATCATTTTTAAAGATACGTAAGGTACACAAAGATATTGTAAGTGTACATTTTGAGATATTAGATGATGTTTTCTTTGAACTATACAATTTTATTCAAGTAGGGGTGTGCGATACCGTGGTTTTTGATCGTGGACAATTAAAATGTCTCCACGATCTGCTTTTGAAAAAATACCATAGTATCGTTAATTTTATCAGTCGCAGTTCTGGTACCTCCGTCTCAACATAGCCTACTATACAACGCGACGTACATTCACATGTAAACGCAGAGGTAGAGTTACACTCTCTCACGGGACACTGCAATTCACAAAAGTTCATTATTTGCATGTACTTTAAAGTCTTGCTGGTTAAACATGTCATTCACGTGCTGATGTGTTGTTCTAACATGCGTTTTTTTGAGCGCGTAACTACACCCGAAGCTCACTGACTATAAAGGCCTGTCTAACAGCGCCTAAATACTGGAAGTTATCTTTCGAGTCTTATTGTGCTAATACTGTCAAATACACACAAGGTTTATATAAACAAAGTTGGTTATGTCTAAAGTGAAAGCAAACAGAGAAAATCTGCTTGTCAAACGTATAGCGTGCAGCTCTTAAAGAGACAGTATCCTAATAGTAAATTTGCTGCCGCTTGTCCTTCAAAGAGATAGTTCACCCAAAAATAAAAATTCTGTTATTATTTACTCACTCTAATGTTGTTGCAAACCTGTATTCATTTCATTCTTGTGCTGAACACAAAAGAAGATATTTTGAAGAATGTGGCTAACCAAGTGGTTGCTGGTCCCCATCGACTTCCATAGTAGGAAATATACTATAGAAGTGACTGGGGACCATGCAGCAATTGTTTGGTTAGACACATTCTTCCAAATAACTTTTATTTTCAACAGAAGAAAGACATTTATTTGGGTTTAAAACAACTTGAGAGATTAAATGATGACATTTTTTTTAATTTATTTTTTTGGGAGAACTACCCCTTTAATGTTAAAAAAAAAAAAACATAGTGGAAATCACTCTCTGCTCTTGAGAACTTTAATAGAAGCTTTAATAAGAATCAATATATAATTCATACAGTGAAATCTATGTTGTTTTATTTTCATATTTGTTATTTAGCCTAATTACTTTCTTCAATGCTACTGTTAAATACGCCTACTGTAGCTGAAAAAAAATAAAGCACTGTTTATTTCATATGTATATTAAGTTGTGTATTTGTAATGTGTATCTTTGTATTTTTGTATCTATTTTTAATAACAAAGAAAATAATGACAAAGATTTTTAGCTTCGCCACTTTGGCCTAAATGTCTACCATTCTTTTTATTTTATATTTTGTTACCTATAAGGCTTTGTTTTTAAGATAGGGACATTAGTTTAGCCACTTGCAAAATAGTAAAAACAGTATAAAACCGTAAATCAGGATTTTCCTGGAAAAAAATGTGATATGATATTTTTGCCATATCGCCCGTCCCTAATGAAAAAGGGTCAAATTTAGGGTAAAATCATCTGAGAACATTTTTTTTGAGAACATATGTTCAATTGAATGTAACACATAATGACATGAATCATCTCCAGTAACTCTTCATTTTATTCTCAGATTCTGCAGTTGAAATTACTGGTCCAGTTGCAAAGAGGGGCACATCGTTCAGGGAAAGTTTGGGTTTGGGTCCTAAAAAACACAAACAGGAACCACTTCAACCTGTCACAGAGGACATGGATTTATCTGAAGAGCAGATATCGAAGAGTGTGCAGAGCATCGACAGAGTGTTGGAGCTCAGAGACACCTATACTCTGCCTGAGATACCGCCTTTGCCTTTGTCAGGTGAGTGTTTATCACACAAGTATTGTGTGTCCCATCTATAGGTAGTTGACAAAGAATTTCTCAACATTATGGTTTAGACATTTTAGACATTGTGATTGTTTGTTACACCATTAACTTTTAGGTCTTGTTTTACTAAATGTGTATTTCGTTTGCTAAAGTGTAGTAGGTCAAAACAACATTGTTCTTTACCCTGTATGGGGGCTGGGGGCTAGCCTTATCATTTTGTCTGGGTTCCTGTGAATTCAAGCAATAAATCTTCATTGATAGGAGTTCAGTTCATGTTCAGTCATGAATCTTGAACTGATAAGAAGTCGTCAGCAGCAACAACAAAAATGAATTGTAAAAAGCATTTTAAAATAATCTTATTTGGCGAATTGCCGGTCACACTGCACAACAACTACCCACACTGTGCACTACTGTTGAAAAGTTTGGGATACTTTTTTGAGAAAATACTTTAATTCACATGGACACATTAAATTGATCCAAAGTGACCATAACAACATTTGCAGTGTTACAAACGTTTTTTTTAAGCTAATTTTTATCATGGTTTCTACAAAAATATAACACAGCATAACTGTTTACAACATTGATTACTATACAAAATGTTTCTTGGGCAGCAAATCAGCATATTAAAATGCTCTCTGAAGGATCATGTGACACTGGAGGCTGGAGTAAGGATCATCACAGGAATAAATTACATTTTAAAATATATTCAAAAATAGTTCGCAATATTACTGTTTATAATGTATTTTAGTTCAAATAAATGCAACCTAAGCATAAGAGACTTCTTTTAAAGACGTTAAAAGATCTTACCACAAACTTTTGAATTGTAGTGTATAGACCGTTTCACAAGATGTAAACAACCCTGGTCCAGAAGCACTTCCTGTTTCCTTTTTTTAACACTACATAAAAGCTGGGATAAAATACAACCAACAGAACATTTAAAACTGAATCAAAAAGTTAAACAAACATATTTAAGATGTTTTCTTTACATGTGAAATAAAGAAAACAGTTACAAACTGAAACAGGAAGTGTTTCTGGACCAGTGTTGTTTACATCTTGTGAAATGGTCTACTGTATACTCGTTTGTCATTTTAATGAAAAACAAAAACAGTAGTATTTGACACTAGCACTGTGACTAGATGTTTTATACTTACTTTTACTCAATGAATGTTAATATATATATACCTATTTATTTGTAAAGTACTTCACATATGGCAACATTACCCGGACCACATCATAAGATTATAATCAGAATCCCTTCGATTTCTAATCTATGGTAAACAGAGCATGATAATTCCTGATTGAAATACAGTATAATAGCTGTTGATGCAAGTGTGTTAGCTCCTGTATTATGACACAACTCATGCAGTCGCCTGTTTACTAATATTTTGCTTTATATGTTATTTGCTGCAGTTATGGAGATTAACAAACTGATAGAGATGGAAGCTTTAGAGGAGGCCTATGTGAATCTACTGTCTCTAAGTTTGGAGCTACAGCGTGAGCATCAAGCTCTAGATCAAGAAGACTGTCCCATCGAACTTGTCCATAAAGAGAAAGACCTCAGTTTGCTCTTTGGAACACTAAGAAACAAAATGTCTGTCATTGTACGCAACTCCAGTGCTCTGCCCTTGCCCAATAAAGAGTTGCTGGTGTATGTTGCACAAATTATCTTAGAGGAAGAGAAGAGACAGGGAGAACCAGGAGCGATGCCGGGATGGAGGGAAGCCTGGAGGGATGCGGTACGAGACGGGCTTCGAGATGCTCTGAAGAAAGTTCAGCTGGACAGCCACGAGCAGAACACTTCCTGGTTGGCAGTGCATCTGGGGCTTCTGGGTAAAGCTGTGGTGGAGAATTTGGAGAGAGTGAAGACTGAACTTCTGAGCTCATATCCAGCAGACTTTAAAGTGTTTGAAACCTATGTGTCCTGCCATCATGAGGCTGTAGGAGAGCATTTAAAGAGACTTCTGGAAAAGGTGACGGAGCTTAAAGATTACCACGCTCTTCTAGATTTCATTATTCATCGCTACCCAAGGTAGGTATTCCTACCTTTAGATTTTATATTGGTAAATACAGCTGGTCAATATCACTTCCAAATCTTCTTTTTTTTTTGTGCTGTTGTTAATGTTATTTAAGTAAGTATGCTGTTCCAATCCTGTATTAATTACACTTTTGATACTAAAAAAATTAATTTCTTTGATTAATATCCTCATGGCCATCTGTTCCATATAATGAAAGTGAATGGGAAGTCATGTTTGGAAAGGACAAAAATGCCCTACTGTAGTGTATATACAGTATATATCATAAAAGTGATTCATATGACGTACAGTACTACCATTCAAAACTTTGGGGTCAGTAGCATTTTTGTATGTTTTTGAAAGAAGTGTCTTAGGCTCAACAAGGCTCCATTTATGTAATATTATAAAATATTACAATATAAAATAACTTTTTTTTAATTCTAATATATTTTAAAATGTATTTTTTCCTTAAATATGTTTTTTTAATCATCCTTGCTCCAGTCTTCAGTGTCACAGAAATCATGCCGATTTGCTGCTTAAAAACTTAAATTTCTTATTATTATCAATGATGAACGGATGTGCATTTATTTGGTATAGATATCTTTTGTAACATTATAAATGTCTTTACTGTCACATTTGGTCAATTTAAGGGGTCCTTGCTTGCTTTAAAAAAAAAACACACACATTCTGAGGCTGTGCAATATATATTTTGATGACAATCTTTAGTCATTGTTCACTGGAAAACCATATCCAAATTGACTTCAGTGGGATTTAATCAAAGAATTGTGATGTCAAACATAAATTCACATAAACCTATCAAAAGACTGATATACTCCAAACTTCCACTTCCCAAATTGCTAAAGGTCTGGTGGTCTTAATGTGTTTTTAATGACCCCAAACTTCAGTTTGATTCCAGTCCTCTTCAGACCTTATATGGATACTCATGTATGTACCAGTTGCTGAGATCCATTGTAAAGTTGGTTTCACAATAAAGCACAGAACCGTACATTTAAAGGATGCGCCTTACGACAGTTGTGATTATAGATGTGACTGTACTTTTACTTCAAGGGTTATGACATGAGTCATGACTGTAAATAAAATAATAATAAACTGTATTTAACTGCTGTTTCCACAGTGAGAAGATAATGGGAAGCTGCTCACTGCAGCCAGAGCTGAAGGAAGATCAGAGAGTGCTTCTGCTGAACAAAGACTTCCTTAACCTGATTAAAGTTAAATACTGCAGTCGTTTACAGGTAGCACACAAGCACATCTGTCATCTGAGATACCACTAGTAGCTAACCGTCTGAATTCAGTGTCCACCCTTGTCCTTTTAACAGGCTGACATGAGAGCATCACTTGACCGAATTATTCAGTTGGAGAATGAGGAAATGTGGACAGAAAAGAGGAAACCAAACATTGATGAGGGAATCTACAGCTCACACATTGACATGGACATCTGGACGGTGAGCCTGCACTTTCACAATTAGCTCGCCTTCCCTCAGATCTAAATGGAAGTGAAATTATGATTAATAGAAAGTCCTTTGATTTTGCATTTAAATGTCTACAGTCACAATGAAATTTGTTTACCAGTAGAGAGCAGTATAGGACCTTTTTCTCAACTTATAGTGGCCCCGAATTGTTGAGCGACACTTAAAATTTTACCAAGTGGCGTTTATTATAAAGAAAGATAACACAATTACACTTTGCTAGTAAATAATTTCACACAAAGAGCTTTGTTCAGTTTTAAGTGATAAAAAATAGGTATGGTTATGAAAAAAATAATTTTGACACTTAAATGTTAAATGTTAGTGAAACAAGATCATAGTTAAAGGGATAGTTCATCCAAAAATGAAAATTCCTGTACTTTCAGTGGAGGGACAGAAAAACACTCAACTTATTAAGTCTTGTATGTTTGGAACAAAATGAGGGGAAGTAAATTAGGTCAGCATTTTGCATTTTTGAGTGAACTATGCATTAATGTGCTATGGAAGATAGTATATGTTATAATATTGTTCTTTAATTATAAATTCTATAATTATAAATTCTAGCATCATTTGTTTGCAAATGCCACTTAAAAAAAATCTAGTTCAATGACATTCAGACACGTTCAAACATGTCTATATGTTTTTTGGCTCAATGTAATTATAAAACAGCACAAGGGGAAAAAAAAACACATTTATGTTTTCTTTCCCAGAATATTAAAGGTCATGTACAAGCATCCAGAAGAATTGATGTGAACCTTGAGCAGAAGGTTGTCCGATCCTGTTTGGAGGAACTGAAGACCTTTCCGAAAAGGTTTGTGAGTAAGAAATATACTCTGGTATATTTTTTTATGTGCAGAGCAACTGATTTAAAAAAAAATTCACATAACAGATGTTATATCTTTATTGGCTGATATGACAGTTATTATTGGATTAAAAAAGGTCACCATAGTGTCATTCTGTGTCAACTCAACCAGAAGTGAAATGTACATAAAAAAACATGTGACTGAAATGTACATAAAAAAAGAGCCAGAATACATGGGGTTTAAATAACTATAGAAAGATGGCACCATCGATAGCTATATTAGTTAAACTGAGAAACTGCACTTTTTGTGCTTTGGAAAAGTGCATTTTCCTAATTTTGAACTTTCACCATTGACATATAAATTTACATTTAGTCATTTAGCAGACACTTTTATCCAAAGCGACTTACAACTGAGGATTAAACCAAGAGAGTCCTTGTGAAGAGGCAAAAACAACGCTAGAAGTGCGTAAGCCAGCTAAGCAAGGATTTAAAGGAAAAGGAATTATTTTTTATTTTTTTCATGTATTTTTATGTTAAGTACTCACAGAAGAGATGAGTTTTCAGTTGTCTTTTGAATGCTGACAACTGAAAACTCATCTCTTCCGTTAGCACTGCTTATCTGGGTTGTGCCACTCCGAGCAATGTCTGAACTTTGTATTTTGAGCACTTCTTGTTTTTGCCTCTTCACGATGACTCTCTTGGTTTAATCCTCAGTTGTAAGTCTCTTTGGATAAAAGCGTCTGCTAAATGACTAAATGTAAATGTAACATTAAAACAAAGATTGCTAAAGTCAACATATTTCACTAAAAGACCTACCAATCTCTGTTTAAAAATAAGAATAATGATGCTGTCACCTTGGCTTGTAAAGTAATTTTTACCCCCCTGTAATCTGGCTCCAAATCTAAAATTCTCTTTCTCTTCATGTGGCAGATCTTTCACATAGATTTTATTAAAACCACATCCCATTAACTGTATTCCCATATCTAACACATTCCCCTCAACGATAACTGAAAAATCATGTGATCTTAGAAAAACATATTTATTTTTATTTCTTTGTATCACCGACTGTTGTTATTTGTCTCTGAAGGTTTGAGTCAGCGTTTGTTGAGTGGAGCAGTCCTCTGTCGAACTCATCTCTCTGGGCAGAGTATCACATCAGCTACATCAACAGCTTTAGTGCCCTAAAGTAGGTCATTTACACAACATACGGCCCAAAAGTAAATTGTAATTTTCATTGAAACAATTTTTACACACGCGTTTGAGAGGAGTAGAAATAATGTATAACTTTATAAGTCTAGTTTCAAATTGAATGTTATCTCTTCAGAAAGATTATGTGAATACAAGCCAAGGGGTGGAGAAAGCTATTCGTTTACTTTCACATTCATCTCAATGGCAGAATGTTTATTCCAGCTTCTGATCTTTGCCTGTCATCACTCAGTTCAGAAAGCAACTGTTTTCAAAGCCAATCACCTTATATGCCATGAAGCCATTAAAAAAAAAAAGCATAAAAAAAACAATCCGTCACGTGATTTCCAGGAATTCATGCCACATAGAGGCAGTCAGGCAGCTGGCAGGGGAAGTCCCTGACACTGGGGAATATTAATTGCGATGGAAACCTCTAGGTGCGTGTCTCTAAAACTTAAACCACTAAAAGTCGTTTTAGTTCTAACTAACTATAAAAAGGAAATACATTTTTAGACATTAATGAGTTATTGATGATTTCTGATGATGATTACTTAAAGTAAAGACTTTTTTTTACCAAACTTATATTTGGTATCAAATTTAAATTTGGTAAAACAAAATCAATCATTTATTTCTGATCAGATTTATTTGTAAGGTATTTAATGTATGTGAACTAGATGATCTCAAAGGTAAGCATTGGTCTTAGTATTATACTATTAAACTATTGTGATTTTCATGCAGCCTAAATCACTAGCTACTTTTCCATCCACCTATTTTTATGCGCATTATGGGATAGCACATAAACACAACATGAAAACTAAGATGTGAATAAATAAAATAAAATACTTATGCATTCTATTAAGGCGGATTCATTTTATTATCTGATGAGAAAACATGCGCATGAACTACAATGGAAACACATTTACTGAATAAATCCCTTAATGTCCAACAAAAAACTCATGTGACTTTGCCACAACAGTGGATGTGATTAGATGTCAGTTTCATTGCACAGCATCTCAAATCCCTGAGCCAAAGTTTGCCATTAGAATGATTTGGTATTTTGACCTCCCAGAACGGTCTCACTCATTTATGAGACAGGAAAAAAGAGCCATAGTGGCTTCCCCAATTTCCACAGCTTCTTTTTTTTATTACAGATGTTTTGTGCCAATTCCCCAGGAAGTCATGTGTTCTCTTGAACACATGGGATGGAAACGCTACAATATTCTAATTTTGTGCACAAGTTAAATTCACAACTTTGGATGGAAGCATGGCTAATGTAGCAAGATAGATTAGAAAATGTTCTCTAAATACAAACTGCATACAGACAAAACTCACATTTTATAAACTTTTTAGATTGTTCTGACATTACAAGTTCTAATAAGCAACTATAATTTAAATATTTTTTCTCCAGAGAGCACATGGAGAGCTTTAAGGACAGCTGCCCGATTCCACTAGAGCTGCTTCAAAAGGAAATAGATGGACTCACCACCAAATTGAGTCAATCATTGTTGGAGCGCTTCAAAACGGATGTCAAGGTGTGAGCTTCTGAACCACACATCGTTAACAATACTTGTTAAACAATGGCAATAGTTTGAGATACACACCAGATAAATTTAAGAACCATTCAGACAACAGGCTAGCTGACTTGATGTAGACCTTAAATGAACTACATGTTTATTTTAATACAAAAATTAATATAAAACACTATATTGTGCAGAATTCTAAGTAGGTAAATCACTGAGTTCAGTCATAGTGTCTGTGAATATGCATATTGAATGTCTATTCAATCTATTCAATATTAGAGTGAGTGAATATTAAGAGCTTCTGTTTGTAGCCTTTCCTCAGGAGACAAATGACAGGAAAATGGTTTTCACTTGATGAAGACTTTTCACAGCTGATCGAAAGAACCAAGAATCTTTCTGAAAAGACCAAATTCATGAGCCCAAAACCTAAACAGGTGAGACTTTGACTAGTTTTTTTAAAAGTATATACACAAACAATACACACTTGACTGCGTAGAGCAGCGTACAAGTATCCTAACCACTGTGCAACAGCTCTCATGTCACTTTAGTGAACTGTTTACACTGCCTGTCAACAAAATACACATCCTCATGTATTTATTGTAAAATCTCTCTTTTCTCGGCTTTCTCCTGTTTATGCAACTTAAGGTCTTTGTGAACGAGGCTCACATTTTTGTGGTGAAAGAATATGTTTCTCAGCTGATGAAGAATAACTACTCGTGCAAAAACAGGAAAAATGAGACGGCTGCCACTAAGATCGCAAATCAGTGGGAGGAACTGAAGGAGATATTTCAAGAAATGGTACAATCCTCATAATGCAACTTTAAAAACCAGTGTTTTTTTTTTTTTTATTAAAGTACAATAAATATTCAATAATTTTATCCCTTAAAATAAATTATTCATGCCTTAAAATAGCTAGAAAATATATCTCTACACCCTTGCTTCATTTAATATGTGCGGATCCATGAATATGCAAATTATCCCCACCTCCGACTACCTGATCCACTCGGTCAACTTTACTGTAGTAAACGGTTCATAGCGGCAAGTCAAATGGAAATACTGGTTTAATTCAGCCATAAATGTTTGAACCAGAAACTGATTCAGAAAAAGTGGGGTGGTGATGGTGCAGCGGATAAGACACATGCCTTTGGTGTGAGAGACCCAGGTTCGAATCTACTGTGAGACACCAATGTGTCCCTGAGCAAGACACTTAACCCCTAGTTGCTCCAGAGGCGTGCGACCTCTGACATATATAGCAATTGTAAGTCGCTTTGGATAAAAGCGCCAGCTAAATGAATAAATGTAAATGGAAGGGTGAATTATACAGGGTCGTCTACAAGTCGATGTATCAGAATGGTAGATTTTTTGTCCTGCTCTCTTCGTCAGACTTAACGGTTGATATGATTAGCTTTTGGCTTGACTACAGCTAATAATGTGTTGCTAATGTTAAACAAACCATGTTTCGGACAGCTGCCTTCTAAACATCAGTATCATTAGAAACGCTTTGAACAACTCATCATAACATTTTTCATATCATCAGAAAAATATACCAGGATAACTTGGCTTTTCTTGAGACTTTTGTGTTTCGCAGCATTGTAAATGATATGCTAAAGCCCGCCCGCACATTAATGGAATTGTTTATAACATTTTTGTGACTTAAAGAACACAAAACTGTGTTTTTTAAACTGTATTTGCTAAACCACTGTTTTACTCAGCAAAACTCAGCAATGGTTTTGACTGATAAATTTGCACATGGTTTGTCTTTAAAAAAAAAAAGGCACATAAACATTTAAAAACAACATTAAAAAATGTATTTTCTCTATAAGGGGTCTTTAAAACATGCCAACATATTCCTTACTGCATCATTCTCTGCATAGAATTCTACCTCAGAATGGCTCCATCCAGTCGGGGACCAGCTGAGCAAGATCATTGGGTGCAGAAAAAGTGATGTAAAACATAACCTACAGCCACTGGTTGAAAACTATCCAGACATCAGGTGCGATTTTAGGTCATATTATGTGCTGCAGATAATGTTAACAATTTAACAAACAATCATTTTACTTTAATTCAACGAATGTTTCGCCCATTCCAGAAGGAGCCATCTCTCAGCTGTGCTGTACTTCCGAGGAATTATAAGAGGCAGGGAAAGGCACATTATACTACAGCGACTGGCAGAGTTAAAAGAGAGCATCGGGAATGCTGGGAATAAAGAGCATGCTCTCTTTAATCAGATTCAAGCAGCAGTTAACACAGACTGTCTGCCTGGTACAACCTTCTCCTGTCTGTCCTTGATCATGCCAAACAGCTAATCCAAATAAACACACTTCATTTGATATGAAGTGGGAATAAAGATTGCACTGTTTGATAGTAACAGTATGCCTTAAAATATGAGCGATAAGGAATGTTTTCCTGCTGTAAGGTCCACCCATTGGCCCAAGGACGGAATCCAATGGCTGGGCGAAGGGATAATGCGCGTATGTCTTTTCAGCGCTCCAGTGAAGTTCACTTAATTTATTAGAATTTAGTTTCAATATTGCTTTAGCTCTATGCTTAATCTGACCCCAATTTTTACTGATGATCAAGTTTAGATTGTGTTTCTTATTAGAAAATAACCATAACTATTGATTATAATTTAATTTAGATCTTTGATATGTCTGTGTTTCTTACACTTTCAATTATTCGTTCATTATGGACCCGATGCCGCACAGAGATCACGTCGGCCGGATCGTGTTTCTCACGGACACAAACCTTGTCAGTTCTGTATTTAGTCAGAGGGTGCAGGGTTAACTAATACTTCTTAAGTCGGTTGCCTACTGCTCACACGTACAAAGAATGTAGTTTATTTTAGCCACTTCCATACAACTTGCTAAATCAGTGATAGACAGAAATCAAAAGGTCTTCAGAGGACGTGCCTACTGCTCCATTCACATCTGCGCCTTTAGTTTGACCTATCCTGCAAGATTTGCGGTAGCACCAGCCTCCTATAATTTACTAAAATAATGACGTCAGAATACTCCAGAGTAAATCAAGATGTAACATTTATTTGTCAGGAAAAAATGTATCATGCCAATTACCCAAGCAATTAACAGCCAATTCAGAAATAGTAAATACATGACATCAATTACTCAAAGATGATTCTAAAAGTAAGCAATGCATTCCTGACAGAGACACACAGTAGTGTGTGAGTGCTTTCCACCGGGAAAACACTGACACAGCACTGTATGGGGCTTTTCCTGGTTACAGGTTCCCCAAGACTGCTCTGTTACCTAGCCTTAAATACCCAGACCAGAACAAAAGGGTTGTACCAATAGCTTTCAGAGTTTGTTTTGGGTCAATTCCTATACCTCAAGGGGTGACACCTGGTCTCGGGGGAGAGGGGAGATATTATCTTGAAAAGACATCACCCATGGAGAAGAACAGGGTTCTCCTAAGTTCTCAATCTTTCTCCTATTTCCAATGACTGTAATGAAATTAAGACCATTTTACCAATCGCACTGAGACACTTAAAATGATACCAAACATGAAAAGGGAAAACCTTAGATTCACAAACGAAATAACAATAAACACCTATCACCCAAATCTTTATTGGGGCATCTCCCACAACAGAAGAACAGGCGTTGTTTTCTTGTTCTGCCTGTTCTGCTTCTGCAGGAATGAAACGATTTTACCATTCGCGCCAGAAGTATTTATTTTGCCCTTGCATAACACAGCTGGAGGCAGGAGGTTTGTGAGATTTGCATGGCTGAATGAGCCCTGGAGGAGAGAAGATATTGTGCAGAGTCAAGAACCACAACATGATGGGAAGATATCAGGTTGGGCCAGTTGTGTGGTGCCCTCTGTCCCTTTGATCTCTTTTACAGATTAGTGAGTTATTATTGTTTTACTGCAGTTTCGAATTCCTAAATTCAGTCTTAGGAAAGTCCTTCCTTACACTGCCTTTGTGAATAATTTATAGTCTTGTATTCTAACAAGAAGATTTAGTAAATGTGTTTCACTATTATCATGTGGAATTTTGTGAAATCATTGTGGATGACACTTTAAATATAATCAGACCATATTATATGCATTGTTAAAAATAAAAAAGGGGGCATTGGCAATGATAATGTGATATTTCTATAATCCACTTCTTAGTTGAGAAACTTTCTCATAAGTGCCTACCGGTAGTGTTTTTAATATCAATCAATCAAAACTTTATTACAGACTCAAAGTCCATTTTTAAAAGAAAAGTAATAGTCCTACACAAACAATTAAAAGCTCACAACCAGATCAGGTTAAACTGATGTTTTGTATTTCTTCATAAAGCATATCCAGACAGTTTTAACCACTATAATAATGAACTTTTGAATTTCAAACGTGCAAAGTGTAACTTTTGGCCCTCTAGCGGTTGAAGCATACAACTGCACGTCTCTTGCGGAGGAACATTGTTTTGGTAGAATGAGTTGTGCTTCGACTCGGATGAATCTGATGGCAGAGCACCTGACCGGTGCAAAAAAAAAAATGCATCTTATGAGCATGTCAGTAGCTTTTGTTTGATTTGTTGAAATATAAGTTTGCTACGATTGCTATATCGGATAAGGTAAAGCAGAACACCATTATAACTTTGCTAGAGGGCTATATTTAGGCGGCCTATATGCAAAAAACAGCAAAGTAGTGATTGGTTTACAGCGTGTTGCTACCAATGTAAACAATTAATCAATGGACAGTAAATGTGACGTGCGAACTAAACGTAGTTATGAAAAGCAACGAAATCCAGACCGCTTTAGAAAATATATAGGCCTTACTGGGTAGTTTTTGAAGATCACCCGCTCGTTAATTGGTTAATTTCTATAAAAATGTTCACTATATAGCCTACTAAAGCATAAATTCCCTTATCTATGCTATGATGTATGCAGCACAATTAGATGGCCATCTCAACACCAATAAATATTGAAGACAGTTTCCTTTTAAATTTTTGGAAGCATCTGTTATTTAGTTGTTTAGATGTATATTATATCTGTTGATTTAGATGTTGTTTTTTTGATAAAGCAACTCCACACCCCATCCGTTGGTGACCGAAATCTAGCAGTGCATATTAATATTATAGTAATTGCATAATATTTTATCATCTGTTCCAGCAGTTTCTTCAACTGCTCACCTACAGTCTCTCTGCACTCTTTGAATAAACAGACCAAAGTATAAATAAACCCACATGCTATTATGCTGATGATCTATACAAACAAAAATAACATGAGCAACTTTTTAAACTCCAGAGAGACTTCCCCAAGAACAGTAGACAGCAGAAAATGATATGTGAAACTATTCTGCTATGATGAAACAACAGAAATAATCAAATGATGAAACACACAAAAAACCCCACGAAGTCAGATTGTGGCTGGTTCATGGATCTCTCTGCTGGGTATCTACAAAACATATTTCTCCACTGACAGCCTATCAAAAGATATAGTTATATGTATTGTACATACAGTATGTATTGATGTTAAATGAACAATATTTAACAAATGTTGTTGTATTGTCATAAATGAACAACTACTAGTCGACTAGAAAAATGTTTGAGGGCAGCCCTAGATTCATGTACAGCTATTGTAGAAAACTCTAAAACAAAAGGTTCTGTAATGTATTATACAGTTTATATGTATGTATTACATATGTATTTGTAATATTGCATTATATTAAAGTTAACTTTTTTTTTTTTTACTTACGCCTAATTGGTTTTGAAGGCTCACAATGAAAAGGAAATGTTGTTCCCCGTCTGTCACCTTTAAATGAAGGGATTTTCCACATGGTGTTTAGGTGAGTGGCTCCCCTCTAACCCAACAAAAGCGCTGAAGGAATCTCATGCAGGGTCCTTGACATCTGACACCCTGACTGCAATCTTTGCTGGATAAGCCATAACCTCTAGTGGTTCAAATGGTTTCTGGTTAATGTGCTTCTCCTTTTTAATGTTCTGCAGCAGGGCTGTTGCCACCTTATCCACCTACAGTCTATGCCAGTTTGACTGTCATGACCAGGGTTACCACTGGCAATCATAAGTGATATAGCTTCCTGAGTGGGTAAAACATAATTAAAGAGTTAATTATAATTAAAAATAATCTAATATTCACTGACTTTTAATCATGCCCAGAAATCATTAGTCAGATGGAGTCAGATGAATTAACGAGTCAATACATATTTAATCAAATTACTTTGTCACACGGAAAGACAGTAATGTGCAGAAACAGAGATCTAATGCCCTCGATTCAGCCGGGACTTACAACTAGAACTAGTACATTAGAAAAACTGCTTCATTGTGGCTCTCTGGAGTTATTAACATTGTTTCAGTCTCCCATAAGTCTAATGCAATGGGTGCTGCAGAGGTTTGCTGTGGCTCTTGCTTACTGAGAAAATTTACATTTTTTTTTTAAAGATTGATGTAATATATATTGTTGAAACACTTTGTATGACTGTAGTTGAAATTTGGGTTATGATTACTCTGATACATTTTTTTTTTTTTTTGCAGATTTTTTAGGAAGATATAGCAGGAAACCTCTCCTAGAAATGAAGATGGTAGCTCTTCCTCAGGAGGGGGATTTCCTGACCTGTTATATTATAATCGGAGCAGATCCTGGATTCACTTACTGGCAGAAGAACAGAGATAAGAATTTATTCAGAAGCAAGAATTCAGGTTATAGAGTGAAAAAACATCCACACAGTCTAAATAGACTTGATCTTCCTTCCTCTCTTTGACACCTACCTACCGTCTATTTTCCTGGACATCTGACTCATGAGTTTTAGGCACTGCAAGGTTTTCCTGTAATCCACAGTTGTTTTCCTGCAATCTTCCTGATAGTCTAAGCAGAGGATCTGGCCTGGATAGATTTCAGGTGTTTTGAAACTGATTACTTCTAATATTTGAAGAGATTATTTGCTTATTGCTCGGACCTAATTGTTGTTCTTAAGGATTAAAAAAAAAGGCATTTAAACAAAAAGATGTGATTTTTATTTCTGCAAAACCTGAAATATGTTGCTCCTGCTGTATTTCACTGCATTGTTCAGGTGATGCATCTACACTATCATGGAACAGAAGAATGCAGACAAAGGTCAAATTTGAATAGAGTTTATTAAAGAACACAGGAAGTTAGCGGGAGAGTCTCTGGATTGCAGAACGGGATTGTGATACTGGCATGTGAATGATAACTCTTATCTGTAATAGGTAGAGATGAGAAGTGGCTGGTGGACTGAAGACTGGCAGACAATGGCACACAGAATAGGCAACAAACTGGACCGTTAAATGCACTGGTAAGTACATGTTCAGTGTAGAATGCCAAGGCCAGAGTGTGAAGCAGGATTATATGGAGTGGAGTTGATGAAGGTGAATGATAGCAGGTGTGACTGATAGAGGATAGGGGAATATCCAACGCATTCTCATCCTTTAACGTCATATAGAACGCTATATGACAAAACGGCGCTTTACTACGCACACCCGTTATCGTTAATATAACGCGCGCTGTGAGGGCTAAGTTTAGGTGTGGGGTAGGGTGTGCGTGTCATATTAACGCTAAAGGATTTATAACGTCTTGGGTTCGCGTGTTATATTAACGATAAAGGGTGCCATGTGCGTAGTATAGCGCCGTTTTTGCATATAGCGTTCTATATGACGTTAAAGGATGAGAACGAGCTGGAATATCACGCTTCCGGGTTTCATGGGCGGGATTTGTCAACTTTGTGCATGTCCATTTCCGACGCAGTTCAACAATGGCTGAAACGAAGGCTCTGTTCCACTTTGTAAATCTAACCAACAACGCGTCGCCAACCCTACTTAAGTTTTCATGGATTCCCGACTGAATTGAGTATAAGGAAGAAGTGGATTAAAGTGCATAATCTTGCACTTTCAGTCGGACGTATTTGCATGCGTATGAATGGAAGTCAGTGGAATGAAAAGTTTAGTGCAAGGCCCCTGTAGGCAGGGGTTGAAATCTCCACCAATAATTCAATAACTAGAATGAATGTTTGGTAAAGCAGAGAGAAACCTAAGAAAAATTCTCATTGTCAAAATTTGGTGCATAGATATTGACCAATACCACAGGGGTGTTAAACGGTAACTTAGATTTGAGGTATCCTGCACAAAGACAACCTTAGTGTAAGCTATCGAGATGATATGTCACTTTGTAAATCGGGACAGTGGCTTTAAACCAGTAATATAAAAACGTTGGTTATTGTATGAATTATGACGGTTCGAAAATGAAATGTCTGATGTGGTGGTTGGCACTAAATAATAAAAGGGCCTGAAAACACCGTTTATAAAAAAGAGGATATGTAAAAAGAAAGGAAGATAATAAGACGTCAGGGACTCTACAGCTCACATATTGACATATTGACGAGGGACGGATCAGTTTCTCCAGTCAGTAATATGGTAAACCCTTTTTATTTGAAAAGGGAAGTTCCTTCTACTCTATTTTCTTGTGGCTTTGACCTCTAAGGCTTCTGTATTCCAACTGAGATGATAAATGTAATGGACAGAAGATAATTTAGAGTTCAGGTCAGGCAGTTCTATTTTCAACAAACACTTCAGTTAGTTTCTATTTTATCTTTCTTTTTCTTGTCTAATCTGTTGATAAGTTTCACAAACATTTAAAAACAACAACAAGAAAAATCTGTTTAGAAACTTCAATTGCCCTCGGCAAAGACTTGTATCATGGTTAATGAATCAAGAGACCTTTCAGTGAGTTTTATTTTAATTTCACAGAAATTTCTAAATGTTGATTTACAGTGATAAGATCTGGTGATGGTTACATGGACTAAATGATTCGATGGATTTTTAAGGTTTTTTAACTTCGTTTAAACGGTGGGCGAGAGAGAATTATACACTCTCTCACCACTGCATAATTCTCTATATGAACACTACAACAGAAAATCATGTGATTTAAAGGAATACTATAAGGACCGTGCAGCTGACAGGGAAAGACGCTGAATCTAGGTCACATGAGGAATCTAAATGTCAATGAAAACTAAACATGCAGTTGCATTATCACTGATGTTTTTATTATGTGTTTGTCCTCAAGAAAAACCAAGATTAAATACAAACCCAATTCCATAAAAGTTGGGACACTGTACAAATTGTGAATAAAAACAGAATGCAATGATGTGGAAGTTTCAAATTTCAGTATTATATTTAGAATACAACATAGATGACATATCAAATGTTTAAACTGAGAAAATGCATAATTTTAAGGGAAAAATAAGTTGATTTTAAATTTCATGGCATCAACACATCTCAAAAAAGTTGGGACAAGGCCATTTTTACCACTGTGTGGCATCCCCTCTTATTTTAATAACAGTCTGCAAACGTCTGGGGACTGAGGAGACAAGTTGCTCAAGTTTAGGAATAGGAATGTTGTCCCATTCTTGTCTAATAAAGGCTTCTAGCTGCTCAACTGTCTTAGGTCTTCTTTGTTGTTCTTCCTCTTTATGATGCGCCAAATGTTTTCTATGGGTGAAAGATCTGGACTGCAGGCTGGCCAT